ACACAGACAACCCCTCGTCAATATGCGTTTTTTGCATTGCATTACTGCAAAAAACGCATAACAAATGGATGGTACTCTCGACAAAAGCACTTGGCAAGACTTTAGCCAATTAGAGTTTTACTAGTGTGTAAGTGTAGGTGTTGAATACCACTTCGATTTCAAGATTTTCTACTCCCGAGCTTTCCTGAGGTTGTAGCGGAAGTACTACGAAAGCAAGCACAATTAAAAAAAAATTTATGATGCATGCATAATATGCAAGTGCAATACATGCAGATACACATGCTCCAGTTGCTCTGTGGAGATCAGAGGCTGGTAGTGTGATGAATAATACGTCACGGTTTGAAGGATCTGAGGACAGTGAAAACCCAAATTGGAAGGCACCAGGCTTGCAGCTGCGATAATGTGTTTTTGCATTAGACTTGAAGTAATCAAGTCGTTAACTATATGAATCGTGATGCCTTCCTTTTTCTTTGTTTGCTCACTAGTGTAAATCCTCATACATTTTGCGTTAAGGGAAATGAACAATTTCCGTTTAACCGCTGTTTTCTGAAAATGACCTGGCTGTTCAATGGGAGCCAAAATTTTTACATATCCGTACGCGAGAACCATGCATACCTGGAGGCTGAAACTGAAATATTTAATTTATACTTGGACAGGAAAAATCCCCTTAAAATTTCAGCTTTCCAACTTTTCCGGTCCTTGGGTTAGCGCTTTTCTCGCCAAAATTTTCAAGTGCCAGTATTTGAGAGTCACGCAAATCCAGTGGCTGAGTTTGAAATTTTTAGCTCAAACACGCACGCGGAACATCTTTGCAGAGTTTCAGTTCTTTATTTTATCGGGTTTCCGAGATCGCTTTTTCGCAAAAAAATTTGCATATTTTCTTAAGACGTCCGTACGCGGCACTCAAGCGGCGCGAGTGACGATATTAAACCGAGAAGGTCGCACATGGTGTGGACACATGCTCCCGAAGTTTCAGCCCTCCAGCTTCTCTGGTGCTCGAGTTGGAAATGAGTGACAACTAGTGCGAACACACAGACCCAGGCACACACACACACACACACACACACACACACACACACACACTGTCTCTTGTAAATATGCGTTTTTGCTTAGTCTAACAGCGATATAGTATTGCACAGCAAAAACGCATAACGAATAGTTCAACTCCCCTCTCCCTCTCCCCACCCGTCCGAGTCCATAATTATTTGCAAGAAGAAGCTCTGTTCGTAATATCGGCAGGCGTTGCCATTTGGGAGTTTTATAGCACAAAAATGATTGGCCAATGCACGGGATGCACGTGCGAAGATGCGTTTTTTGCATAGTTCCCCGCGGTTTTTGTCGCTACCGGTACCGGTTTCTTCGGCAAATGCTTCTAGCTAAACAAATTAAAACTGGCCGCCAGAACTGTCAGGAAACACCTCGTTGAAATTTCAGCTTCCTAGCTTTCCTGACTTCTGAGTTAGCAACTTACTGTAAAAAACTCTCACGGGCCCGTACATGGGTACTACGCATACCCCATGTCGAGGTTTGAGCTCGTTTAGACTTACGTGGACGGGGAACATCCTCTTAAAACTACAGCCTTGTAGCTTTTCAGGTTCTCGAGTTAGTAACTTACCAGAGAAAAATTTTGTTGATCCCATGAGTTGGTACCACGTATACCCGAGGACTGGTTTGATTTTTTTCATCAGTACCCATTTGGACGAGGAACATCCTCTTAAGATGTCAGCTTTTTAGCATTTCAGATCTCCGAGCTATGAACTTACCGGGGGCTAGGTTTGAATTCATTAATACCTACTTGAACGGGGAACATCGCCTTAAAATTTCAACTTTCTAGTTTTTATGGTTCGCGAGTTCGCATCTTACCCGTAAAAAACTTTGGCGGGCTCTTTTGGGTACCACATTCGTAATGGCGCACATTTTGGGGATTGCGGCCTGTACGTGCATGTAGAATAAGTTCCCAAAGTTTCAGCCCTGTAGCTTTTGCAGGTCTTGAGATGAAAAATCGTGACAGACGCACACACGGACACACAGGCACCAGACACACACAGACACTCTCCCATCAATATACTTTTTCTGCATTGCATAGCTGCAAAAAACGCATAATTAGTGTGTAAACATAAATCAGTTTAGTGCGCAGAATCGTATCTAGAGAGCTAATTTTAGGGATCGAAAGCGGCTGATGTATTTGAACGTCGGCAACGTAAACTTACCAGAACAATGAATGTTTCATGTGTGATAACACTGATCTTTTACATAGCACCAATGTGTACGCGTTTGTTAATCGGCAGCATAGTTAATGCGACAACGGACGACATCCTAATATCGTATTCGGGAATCAGCTGCAATTTCAATCCACTTGCAATCCTTGCAGCTCTCTTTATAATGCAGGACGATGTGAAAGCGGCTGTATACAGCAGTTTACCGCGTAGTTTGCATTGGCTAATTCAACGCCAGTTACCAACTTTCGTCTCGGGCATAACAGTTGGTGAGAGGCCGTCGGTGGCAAGTCATACGACTCAACACAAAACTGCAGCGACAGCACTTTTTTCGCATGCGCCGCAGCAGACCAAGAAAACTGCAACACAGTGGCTTTCGAAGTCAGGAATCACTGTTACTGTGCCCGTGCGACCACACTAATCATTTCCCAGCACTTTGTATGCACCGGTTAAAAAATGTTACAAAGTAACACATAGTTTCCCTGGTAAGCTGGACGAGGGAACGCTGAGATGCGTTTGTTAACTTTTCCAGTGCGCGAGCTGAAAAATACCTATGCTCATAACAAAAAATCGCTAAAATTAAAGTCAGAATATTTTCATGGCTTATAAGTTACATCAATTTTCTCTTTAGCCAAGAAGCCAAGGGCGTCCATCACCTATTGCGGAAAGCGGTCAAGTTTCCTATGATTGGCTGACCGCACATGCCAACGTTGTTAGCACTGCCCAATGCTTCAGTACCACTTTATGCCATTGACTAAGAGATGGGATAATGAGCGATTTATCGAGATCAGCATTTAGGTTTTGAAATGGTTAATTGCACGAAGTGGAATGTAATAAACTTATACGAGAATTTGCTCATATTCTTAATCTGACACATCACTTTCTTCCTTCACGATTTTTCTTCTTTCTACGCTCCTAAAGTCTCCATGATTTGGTTCTGAGAGGTGTATATGACAGATAGGAGGCTGTACTAAATGATTCCTATTCCTACCCAACGTACGGCTCTCGCGATTCACGACTAAGGAAATGAAACAAAGTCTACTGTGTGGTACGTTTACCAGTACAAATAGTATTCAGATCTAATATTTCGATCTGAATCTGAATTAAAATGTTGACAACAAAAGTTTTGATGACACAGTTTATATAGTCAAAATCAACCCAGGCTGGAACGCACCAGGCGAGCCGATGCGATCATGCGTTTTTGCATCAGACTTTGAGCTACTCCATCATATTTCCCTGTCCTTGTCTCACCCCCTCCCCTCGCTGTTCTCGCCCCTCCCCCTTCCCACGCACCCGCCCTGGATATCCAGCTTCTCCAAGCGGCGATATTGTACTCCATTATACAGCACGATTACGAAGCGGTATTCCGAGAGTACGGTACCGCGAGTCAAAAGCCCCTGGGTGGTCGTCCGTGGTGTAGGATGTGGGCGGTGTTGGGGAGGGGGGAGGGGGCGACGGAGAGTGTTGGGGAGGTAGTCGGTGTTGGGGAGGTGGCCGGTGTTTGGGGGGCGGTCGGTGTTGGAAGGGGCCCGGTGTTGGGGACGCTCGGTGTTGGGTGGAGCGGGGGGGAGGGGGATCGGCGTTCTTTCAGTTCTCGTTTGTGCTTGGCATTTGCAGATGTTCGGGACGAGGGGCGCCTTTTGCGATTGCTCTGGGAGAGCGATGCCGTAGTGTTTTGTGCAGGATAGGAACAGCGGTGTCCTCTTTAGAACAGCCGTGGCACTTGCCTCCTAAGAACATCTGCGTAATCCACATCTCGGAACAGCCACGGGAAAACGACTGTCTTAGGGGGCTCAGGTAGCAACTGTTTACTATAGAAAACTGATTTTACCGGCTTTAGCAGCCGTTTTACCGGTTTTTTGCCTGAAGTGCACTCGTTTCTTCAGTAAATGTTTGTTTTGTGAAAAAATGACAAATGCAAATTTTTTGAAAAAATGCAAATTTCCAGTTCACTAAAAAGTAGAAGTATTGCCCGAGCGTTCGTTTCCAAAAAAGCCGCGTTCATTTACACATT